TTTCCCAATAGACGAACCAAGTATATGTTTCATGTCTTTCCAAAATTCAACAATAATTTCTGTTTACTCGGTTAAAGGTAATTTTTCTTTTCCAATTTTTTCATAGTAACAAGAAAAGTTCCAAAATCTTATCGTTTTAGGCATTTTATACCGAACGATAAAGAATTTTTAATGTGCCGCGATTAGAGCTTCAGGAACGATGAAATTAAACTGACGTGATCTGTTATTCAAGATATTGTTTACAGTTCATACGATATTATAAATTCAAATTGTTCTAAACAGTGATATTTGATATAAACTAATTATATAACAGTTATTATATAGAAGTAACATGAATCATAATTCACGGTGGATATATTGTTTCAAATAAAACTGATGTCAGAAGAAAAATATGTAACATATTCATTCATGCAAAATATGCAACACATATATAATGTAAAAAATCAGCCTAATGTTATATTTATGTGCATAATGCTATGAAACATCAAAATATTTCTTTCACTTCTGACTTTATATGACCTTGGATGTAATCGTAAAAAATACGAATAAATGAACATAAAAAAATATAGCATAATTCATTTAAAAGTTTGAAAATACCTTATTCTAGGAAAATATTACAAATATAAATATAAATATAAATATGTAAGCTGAATATATAATCAATATTAAACAATTTTGACACTTATCTTAGTATCATTTAACTGGTATTATTTTGTCATAAATTTAGAATTTTTTGTTTTGAGATTTTACATTTTGAGAAACGGTATTCCATTTCATTTACTGCGAAAATACGTAATTAAAATAATTATTAAGAAATTCAGTATAGACATTTTAGCTTTACGAACAATTTTATTTGACGTCACTGTTGTAATGTAATATTTTTTCCTAACCTCTTTAATACTTGCAAAATACTTCTGTCTACTTTGACTTCTTACCAAATATGTACCAACAAGAGATGTTTACGACGTAGCAATTTAATCTACGTAATTACTACCACAACATAAACACGTAATTAACTAATCTAAAAATTATCGCTCAACATAAAATATTCACAAATTTGTTGAATTACTAAAATAAATAAAAATATCACTATCAGTATATGGAAGAAAATCAAAATTTATAAAAATGTACTTTAAGTATCTTTACCAACTCAAAAAAATATACATTGTTTAGAAAGTAAAATATAAATTGTACTATAAATATCACAAATATTTCACTAACTAAAACAAACAGAGTTTTTATAATTCTTCCTTATAGAAAATCCATTGCTATTACAAATTTTTATACAAAATAATAAATAAACTGTTTAAAACATTTAATATTTATTTTAATATCTTGTAAACAAATATTCTAAGATTCATAAATATATTTGAACATTATATTCTCATAAATATTATGAAATTTATGAATAAAGTATTTTTTATAAAATATATACTTTAGAGGTTATTCAAAGTACTCTAATTAAGTGACTCATCTTTAAAAGGTACTCCATTTAAGTTGGACATTTAAATTATTTTTCTTGCTATTGAAAATAAAAAGAAAATTACCAAAGGAAGTTTAAATAATTTGAAAGCATATATCTGATCATGATAAACACATAAAAAATCCTTTCAAGTCATCTGGAATATCATTCCAAACTTACCATATGTTTTTTAATATCTTTTTCTTAATATGCATATTATTTTTAATAATATAATATTACAGTAGATATTAAAACGAATATAATGACATGACATTCTGACCTTGAAATAATATTCATATATTAAAGATTTGAACTCGCAAGGATTCAACTAAAAATCATATGGATAATAAAAGCATTTTTTAATTCAATATGGCATTTAACACAAAACCAATTATTATTCATAATTAATTACTTTATCTATTTATCTAAATAGTTCATGATTACTTATTCAAATAACTTTTTTGTATAACTATTCTAAAATTATCATAATATTGATAAAAATATCACTTTCAATTTCTAATTAGTTTCAAATACAGCATTTGAAGAAAAAGCAATTATAAAATTTATGTTATCGTGCAATAAATTATGAAAAACACATTTAATGATGAGTAGATAAAGAAATATATTGGTTATTAGTCCCTGCTAAATAACATCTCTAAAATTTGGGTTACATTTTAGTAAATATGTAAATTGTTCAAACACTCTCAAACATTTATTTCTCCTTTACTGCAACTTTTTTAGACCTGTTATAACAAGTATGGAATAATAAGAACATTAGTGACGAAGGTGATATTATAGAGCCATAATATTTAATCTCGCTGTCTAATTTGTTTCTATCAGAATATACACAGTTTTATTGAAATCATATAAGTAGCATAAGTTATGAAAGTGCCGCAATACATTTTCATATAAAATTCCAATAAGCATCATATTTGAACAATCAAAAGGTTGTAATACAATATAATTAATGTTTTTATATCAAGCATATTTAATCTGTATTGCTATTGTAATATGTAATGATAAACAATAATTTTGTGGTATCAAAAATTATATTGTATATATATTCATAAATTTTAATGAAATTATGCAAAAATATAATAATAGTATAATATAACTGCTATATTTAGCAGTTCAGTCACTCATAAGAAAGCTAATTATTATATCGTCTAATTTATATTACTTATTATTATTATTAATATATTTCATGTACCTTAATGTTTGTATATACATACAAGATGACCCACCTAAGTAAATATCTCACCCCCCTTATATATCTGACTTATTTTTAATGATAGCAATACTCGTCTTGAGATAACATATGTTTTAAAGAGACAATATTATGACAAATAAACAAATGAAAACATTTTTCTCAAAACATTTAAGTTTCAAAGTCATTGATATTTTTTATAAATAGAATTATATATTTTTATTATCATGATATAACAAGGAAAATCAAAATCAATCTATAATCTATGATAATGACATTCACATGACTTTAAATACAAAAAATTCAAATGGAATATAATAAATAAAATGAAAAACTTACATATCAATATTTATAGTTTATGTTACAAAACATATTTAATGTTTAGCCTACAAGAAATATGTTTACTGACAATGAATTCATTTAATGTTGAAAAAGACGTATATAAGCTAGGGAGTACGATTTTGACTATCAGTTAAAATAAATTTTCCTTCATTAATTTTTATGTCTTAGTTATTTTACTATTTATGTCGATTTTCATACATTTAATTTTGGTTTTTATTTAATTTTGACTCAAGCTATTATGCCGTAATAATAAAACTATATAATTATATTTAAACAGATATCAATGATTTGAATCTCAAAAAGTATGAAATTGAATTAGTTATTAATTATATTTACTCATTCAAAACAAATATTTTCCTTTGATTTTTTTCCTATAATCAAAAACAACTGAGTTATGTAAGATCCAGAAGTTAAATGGAATATTCAAAAAAAATATTTGATGTAAAATTTATATATTTTTCAATAAAGTATCAAAATACAAAACTTTATTTGTCACTTTATTTAAAAAAAATAAAAAAATATTCCTTCTGTCATATATAATAACATCTTTGCATTAAATTATTAAGTGTCAAGAAACACTATAAATCTATCATAAATAGCTTTTCAATAAACAGTATGAAACAATTTTATATGAATAAATCTATAAAAGTACTTTATTAAAAAACTGAAAAAACTTTAGAATTGAATATTTTTTATATAAATTTGTTAAAAACTTATTAGTCGTATGATTGTAAATAGATCACTATGTGATAAAGATAATTGAAATCATTGTTATTTATTATATTATTCACATAGTTTTGTAAAGCTAAAAATTATGAAACATACTAAAAAATTCCTATTTTTACAATTTCATAATCTTCTATTCACAAAATTAATGACAAATACTTCCAAATACTCCTGGCATCATAAATATCTATAAATGAAGTATAATTGAAAAAAAATATTCTAAATTTTTACGATTCTTGTAGAACAAATGTATCAAATTCTATCATAAATCATAACTGTTTAAAATGAATAATCATTACTAGTTAAAACTAAGAATTTTAAATACTGATATAATTTATTTTTTGATACAAGTTTTTATCAACGCATATATCATATTATAATAATATATATTGATAAAGGTTATTTTTTAAATGAATTTTATAATATGATTTTCAAAAATCAGATCTTATATTACATTTTACAAAAATATTAATTTCATTGCACATAATATTACATTTTAATCATTCTATTTAAGTAATAATGGTTAACTACTGGAATAGTCATGATCAAAAAACTAAAATTGGATAATTTAATACTGAATTAAAGTATTTAACTTATTTAATCATAAAGAAATGCATAAATGTTTTCTATGAATCTCCTAAATACAAATATGAATTAAGTATTATATTTCCAGTATGTTGATATAAAATACAAAAATATTAATACAATTTAAACAATATTATTGTAATGTCATTCATTATTTATTATTTATTTAATAAATTATAAATTATGAAAATTATAAAAATAAAAATAAAGCTAAAAATTAAAATTAAAGAAATTAAAAAATTATAATAAAAAATAAAAACTAGTTTAAGTACATTATTACTTTATATATTATAACAAATAAAATAAAGTAATTGATAACAGGAATATTATATTGGAACACTTATAATTTAGTTACTAATTAATATATTATTTAAAATATTAATTATTTACCGTATAAATTAATATAAAATAGATTAAATATTAAAAATCTGATAATCTGATATTTTAGTAACGAATAACTAATCTGATAATTTAGAAATATCGATTACTTATATTTACATTTTGTAAAAAAACATAAAACACATTTATTAAATATTATTTCAGTCCTCCAGAAACCGATAATAAAATCGACGCACCTAGATTACGTTTATTCTTTGTTGATAATAATACAATTGATTTTATATAAGTAACCCAAATACTCAATGTAAAAGTAAAAATAATACAGAAATATAATCTTACCTTGAGCCCACCGTTTAAAAACATCCTTTTTAACAGTATTACCCCAAAGTAACGTTTTGATGGAATGTACAAATTCGTCATCGCAGTGAATAACATTTTCAGCCATTATCCACGTTTTTTGTAATTATTAGGACATTAAGAGGTGTTGCACAAACACAAATTATTTCGACGTAATCATAATATTCTTTTATAGTTCTGTTAAATCGAATTATTTTATTATTATTTCTAACGATTACACTTGTATTGTATAACCTATTTCACGAAAGAAACAATCACCCAGTACTTCGCCATTTTAGACATTGCATAGTTAATAAATATACGAGATGGGTGAAACCTACTTTTCATATTTAATGGGTAAAACCTTATTTTCATGATAAATCGTTATTTTATATGTATATTGGACATTTTAATCAATCAACTGTATAATATCAATATTATAAAATGTAAACATTTTATTTAAAAATATGTAACAACATATATATATTTCATAAAAAAGTTGTCGAACGTGTATCTTCAATTTTACTTCATAAAATTAGATAAACAATTATTCTATTCTGTATTTCAAATATTCATCTATCATTTTATCTAACATTGCACATGATTTCACATTTTTTCTCCCAATAAAATGGATTAAACATTCGATTTATAGAAATTAAAATATTAATTTTTACATTTGATTATCGAGATATAATCGAAATTCTGTAAATTGGAATTTGATATATGATATTTATATATGAATCATAAATTCAAAAGTACATATGAGTATATGAGATGTTACATAACAAAGCATGATTATTTGTATGTTAATAAAAATAAAGGAAATGGTACAGAAAGATGCTTAATTAGTATCTAAATCTATTTTGTTCTAAATTCATTTCTTTTGCAAATTATATATTGTTCCTACATAGTAAATATATGTATATAAAGATCTAGTAACCGAAAAATGAATGTTTTATACAATATTTTAACCTAATAAAAATGTATGTGTATATACATATATACATTGTTTTTAATATCATGAAAAGATAGCTGAAGAAAAAATTGCGACAAAAATAAAAAATACAAGTCATATATAAAAAACGTTATATTTGAATATTTTATATAGTTTTTTAGTTTTAATTAAAACTTTATAATTCTGTAATTTTAAATCTTGTTCTTTCTATATTACGTTACGTTTATAATATGTATCTGCTGTGTTTCATTCTTTTGTGACCTTTTTTAACATATATTGATGCGTAATGTCCAAATATTATGCAACAATTTATGAAGTATTATAGAATTGATGTTTTTATATCAATAATATAAACAAATATTCAAACAATATATGTTCATAGTTATATAAAAACAATTATATATTATATGATTAATAAAAAATATTAGTATTGTCATAGAAGCCATCGCAGAAGTAAATAAAGAATCAGAATAAATTAGACCAGTCAGTACAATGGAGAATTAGTAAACTTATTAATAGACTATTTAGAATAAGAAATTAGTTTGATTATTTTGTAACAGATAAATGAAAATTATAAAAAGATGATAGTGTATATAAAAAAATTTTAACATCAAAGAAATACAAGAAATTACTAAAATAAAAGAAAGGATAACTCAACATCATAGGACTAGTGAAATACTAAATTGCTTAGCATATTTAGATTATTTAAGAGAATTAAATGAAAGGAAAATATAATTTATTATAAAAGTTATTAAATAAGTGCAACTTGATTATAATAAAAAATATTTGCTATCAAACAAAGTTTCATAAATATAAATACAATTTAGGAGGTACAGAATTTATGTATTTGTTAATTTCTCAATTATTTCAATATGACATAATTAGTAATATAAACACACATTATACAATATGTTCTACAAATAAAACTTTTTACATCATATTTATCGTAACATCTTCTATTTTCAATATAAAATTTATAAATGAACTTAAACAATTATAGTTTAGTACTTAGTAAATATTGAAACATTAGATAACTCAACTTCATTTTTTATTATTTAGTATCTGTGTGATTAATTAAAGAAAGTTTAAAAATTATTTTGCAAAATCCTTTATTGTTGTGAATGTTTTGCATAACATTTTGCTTTTAAATTTTCTGCATAGTTGAAAAGTAGTAAATAAAAAAGTAAACAGTTTATATTATAAAATAACTGTATTATTTCATATTTATATCTCGGTATTAAATTGTTTGATATCTTTTATATTTTTTATGATATGTTATTTAAAATGAATATCTTTAATATTTAAGCATTATATAATTTTTATATTGTTGTACTGTAATTTTGTGTGTAATACATTTAACGGTGAAAAAAATATATTTATTTGTATATTACACTATTACATAATGTCTGGTTAACAAAAATACGAACATTATTTATGTAATTTATAACATTTATTATATTATCTGCTTTAAACGAAACAATATATGGTTTTAACAATTTTAACATCTTGCATTAATATTCTATTAACGTTTTATATTAACATTCTATGTATTTTTGCAAACTAATAATTTTGACTTTAATTTTTATAAGTAAAAATGCAATTAGTACTTTGAAAGATCTTATTTTCTCTTGTTAAATCATCACTTTCAAATGTTGGAGCATATTGTAAATTATTTTTTTTTAATATTTTGTGGTTATGTTTGCATTCCATAAATTTTCTATAGAATTTAAATTAAGAAATTTTGGAATAAAATTTTTGTAGGATATGTGTTTAGCCACTGTTTTGATTATACTTAAACGTTGTTTAAAATCTCAGTTTTTTTAATGTCCAATCGGTAAAAGAGATTCGTAGGTTCCTATCTTATCAAAATGTTAAAGTGCACTTTGATCTTACTTAATACTGAATTGGTAGGACAGCAGGATGTGATTAGGTAGCACATCGTGGTTGTTCTTAACACATGTTAATTAGAAATATATAACGCTAATACTTTAACACTAATTTCAAATCGTCACATCCATTAATTGTCTAATATTATCATTTTTCATATTATCATTCGCGATTACAATACTTTAGTTGTACATTGCTAATAACTGTTAGTCAAATATGAAACTAGGAAATCATTTTAAACAACTCTAATAATAAATTGTTTTAACAAATGTTAATCTCACTTTATTGTATCCGTAAAGCAATGTGTATGTTATGAACTGACTTCTCATATATGTATGTACAACTTTCGATCAACTTACGCAAACTGCCACTAATAACTAAAAGCCAAAATCATTATAAAACAAATAAATGTAATGGCTATCAGGTTTTATTTCTTGCAGTTTTAATATAGTTTAATAAAACTTAATTACTGATTTTAGTGACAGTTTTATGAGATAGTTTTTCATTCAATGTTTACATAGAAGTTACGACAGTAAGTTAGTAAAAGTGTTTAATATCGTAATAAAGGTTATGTTTTAAATATTTTATTTCATAACCTATCTTTTTTCATTATCTGATAAATATTGATTTAATAGTTAATTAAGTGCAACTATTTAATGATGTAAAAAGATTAAAGGTACTGAATATCGATTGGTTTAATGATAAATAGTTGAGGTCAGTTAATATTTTAATATACACTATTTGTCAAAAGTTTGGATACATCTACTGTTTTTTGGAATGCTTTTGATTTTCTTTGTAATATAATATAAATGTCTTTTTTTTGTTTTCTGTGCAAACATAAGTAAGGAAAGTATTAAAAAGAAATCATAATATTTAGAAATTCTTTAATCAGCTCTTGCTCTTGATTCTACCGATATTAGAGTTATACTGAAATATTGAAATGACATTCGTTAGGGTTGTAGATCGTCTCGAAAGTATAAACAACTGTGAATATGATCACTGCATTAAAGCTGTGTATATAATACCATAAACAGTATCAACTATTAAAGCAACACATTGTTCTCTTAATTTGTTTTTGATTCTGTACAACACCACAGTCATATTTAATTGTGATTTAGTCGATGTGCTTTTTTGAAGTTTTATCTTTTTAAAATTTATATTTAAACATTTTACATGCCTAATATTTTTATTACATAATTTACTAATATTTTCTTATTGCTTAATAAAAAAATTTCAATTTTTCCATTTGCCAAATTTAGGTTATTTAGAGAACGCTATTAACTTTTACCGTATACGAATGTCAGTGTACAAACTGGAAGAGAATAAATTTATTTTTCTTAAACTTCATCAATGTCACATTTCATTGTGTACGCTATTCTTACTCACGCATCTATTCTATTCTTAATTTGTATTCAATATTTTTTACGTCTCACAAACATAGCCTATCGCGATATAATTTAAATAGCATTTCGATTTTGGAATCGGTCCATTCCATAATGTTGTTTATTCAAATATTTGGTAGAAATTGACAAGTTAGAGCTATAGTCTGTCCAAAGAGACGAAATATCGTTTCCTGTATTACCGTCTGCGTGATCAGGCACGTAGCTTGCAGTTATTAGTCCACTCTCTTGGCCTCCAAGAACGACATGTTTAGTTATTGAGGGTTCTTGAGGTCTTTTCCAGTCTATGTTTTCTATGATGTACTATGGTTTTTTTCTGTTTGCTCACATCACTGGATTCACTTGCTCATCGGCATTTGTCAGTCTTGATTTGATCACGCAGTGATCACATGCATTCGTTAGATTCGGTATCTCGTCTAGTTGGACGAAATAGAGTCAAATTCCACAAAATGAGTTAAGAATGTGTTTAGACACTGTCCGATCTTACAACCAGTTCTTTCAATGCTCTGTTTCCCGCGCAAATAGTGTTCGCTGTTCGCTGTAGAGTTCGCTGTTCACTATTCATGAACAGCAGTGTGGACGCACTAGAAGAGTAGTTGTCTTCCATCAAATCAATGGAGTTTAGGGTTTATTTCACCCGATACTACGAATTTTAAATAATATAATTATATTTACCAGATAGAGTTACTTGGTTGTCAATTAGTGATATAAACTAGGCTTTAATTGTCAGCCATTGTTCTATTCTTACATTGAAATGAGGTAGGATAATTTTTAGTAGATTTAATTTGCTCAATCAACTACTGCAGTGTTTAAACAGGTGCAGACATGTAAAACTTGTGGGATTTTATATTTTCTTTTTATTGGAATGATTAAGTTGTCATACATTCAGTATTTACCTGCTTTTAATTACCTAGTGGAGTTTTACAAAGGTGAAAGGTATGTTAAGTCGCTTCATTTTCATGGATAATTTGGCAGAATTTAGTTT